TGTCCTCGTAATAGAGGTAAGAGAAAGCGATTAACAGGCAAGCTTGTTTGGAGTACATAACAGTCAAGTATAATTTGGTCACAAGTGGGCTAGGTGTACTCTCAGAGGAATGCCTTTATTTGATCAGACAGGTCAGAATCTTCCAGGGAAAATATTAATTTGGGGAAAATAGATCAGAACCTACTTGTTATCAAATGGGACACTGGCTTGAGTGTTGAGGAATACCCATTTTTATTGTTATCAGTGGTTTGTCATCCTCCCCCCCGAAACTACCCTACTGACACTCCCTATTGCCACTACTACCACCAAGTCAAAGAGCAATCTTGTTCCTCTATCATGGTTCTTCCTACTTAGAAGTTGAATTTCATACTAGGATATAGCCATCCAACTGGGTCTAAAAGGTCTCATAATGTGTGGAGAGAAACCAAATACAGAAAAGTTACTTCCAATTAACACTCTAATCTCCAGATGTCCTAATAAAAACAGTGAGGCAGCAAATGGCCACCCTCAAGCTGGAGAACCATACTTCGACTCAGTGTTTTTAAGAGCCAGGGAAAGTAGCTAACCTCTTCTTAATTTGATCTCCTGGCCTGGGACATATAAATGTTTAACTACACTCTGGCTTAGGAAGGAAAGCAGAGGTGAACGTATCCTGTAGTGGCATGGCTTCAACAGAGCATTTGTCTCACCCTGAAATATAAAGGAGCAATGCCTGCCTCCTCAAGCTGAGCAGTGCCCAGAATTTATGAACTTCAAGTAAGATGTGAATCTGGGGCCCGAGCCAGGCATTATCACTGGGAAATGGTGGACAATTTCCCTCTCCCTCCCTCCTCGTTTTCCTACTGCTGATTGTACTGTTCAGAAGTGAATCACGACTTAATCCCCTCTGCTGTTAAGAATATTACAAAATGCTGGTTACAATGAAGTCACAAAAGTATTTACATAAAAGAAAAAAAGACAGACAAAGAATGTTATATCAAGTGACCAAGCTCATCATTACCACCAGCAAAAAGATAGGTATGGAAAAATCCTTGCCTGGGTACCAAATGGGATGCAGCTGATTAATTTAGACCATCTCTATATATAGTCAACACGGCACATGTTTTTACAATCATGCAGTGTTGAAAGCAGTGCATCATGGGAGAAAAGACAGTTCCAGTCACATGCGTCTGGGTTTTTTTTTTGTTTGTTTTTTTTTTTTTTTTTTTTTTTGAGACGGAGTCTCGCTCTGTCGCCCAGGCTGGAGTGCAGTGGCCGGATCTCAGCTCACTGCAAGCTCCGCCTCCCGGGTTCACGCCATTCTCCGGCCTCAGCCTCCCGAGTAGCTGGGACTACAGGCGCCCGCCACCTCGCCCGGCTAGTTTTTTTTTGTATTTCTTAATAGAGACGGGGTTTCACCGTGTTAGCCAGGATGGTCTCGATCTCCTGACCTCGTGATCCGCCCGTCTCGGCCTCCCAAAGTGCTGGGATTACAGGCTTGAGCCACCGCGCCCGGCCGCGTCTGGGTTTTTAAATCTTAGCGTCTTCAGATCAGGGCCAGGTTACCCCAGAGTGCTCAATAATCCATGAGAAATGAATCCTATCTTCGTTCCAGGGCTTAGTATAGGCATTACACCAGTTAGATGCAAGCAACTCTTTGATTGATGGCTCCAATATGGATTAAGGTCAAAAGTGGCCCTGGAGAGCAAATTCCCTAGTGAGGAACTGCCACATAACTTCATGTGTCTTTTGCTTCTGAATTCTTTCTTCTCCTAGAAACCACCAACCACAAGCTTTTCATGCTGGTATTATATCTACATAACGTTTATTCTTCTTACAGCAAAAAGCTGCAGAAATACAAGTGAGAATCTGTTATTACAGGTTAAAATGTGTTACACCCAACTTGTGCTGAGGGTCCAGTTTCTTTTTATTATCCTCCAATTTTGTTGAATGACTATTGCCTAAAATAAATGAGCAATCGACAGGGGCTTAGAAATAACAGGGATGCTTAAGTGACTTTTATGGGTAGCAGTATTTGTTGTAACATAATTTGATCTGTATTCTAGTTATTAGTTTTATTCATCACATTGGAAACTTGGCACTTCCATTGTTCATGCCATTATATGCAAAGCACTGTAGCATGAAAGTCACTTAGAAAGCTGTGAAAAAAACTCTCTAAACACCAGAGGCTCATGAAACAGTAAGTTAGCTAGGGGGATATACATTGTTTGATGTAGCTAAATACTCTGGATGGTCAAGAGTTTATTCCTTTTAATTCCTAAAAGTTTTTTGTCTTTTTTTTAACCATTGGGATGTAAATATTTCTAAAATGTTTGATATACACATTTTTGCCTTCTAAGCATAGTTTTTTTTAATGTATGGTGCACAGGGTCATCATTTTAAATAGAATATTGTCCTGTGATACAGTGAGGCTCTTAAAGATTGAGATGTCTATAGACTGTTTTTGGCACTAAATAACCCATATATCAGGGCTTTTTCAGTTTTGCAGTCTACTCAAAATTTCCATCTTCTCTATTGCAGTCCTCCTTTTTCCTTCTTGTTTCCTCCAAAAGTCTGTTTCTCTCCTTTACATTTAGAAATATGTGTGAAGGAAAAGCAAATAGGTTCTGAGGAGGTGCTTGATGGCTAGATGTATGGCCTTTGTCTTATGCGTTTGCTTCATGGATTTATTTCAGTTGGTTGGAAGCCTTGTTTGCTTACTTCTTAATTCTCAGTCATTTTTGATGGGTTGAGCCAGAGGTTCTAGATTTTTATAGCTCTGTCTCAGTTACTCATTGTCAAACCACTAGTTTAGATTTTGTGTTCAGGAAACAGGTGAAGCTATCAGGTGGCTAAGCCCTAGGTAAATGAGTTGCTATGAATCCTAAAATGTTGTGAAGGTTGTGGGCCATTTTTATAAGGCAAATGGTATGCTGTGGCCATGACAGCTGAACTCAGTAAGTAAACTTTAAAACAGATAAGCTCCTTTTGCTATTGTCCCTTTCCAAGAATATGAAGTTGGCCTGTTGTCAAGCTGTTGGAGAGCCTTCAACATGTTTAATTAAATAACAGACTCAGTGTCAGAGCTGGCTGACTTTCAGGATTCTAAGGCTATAGCAAAAGAAAACATGGTTTTGCCTCTCTTGTTGATTTCCTTATTTATGGCCTTGGAATAAAGAAGGTAAAGCAAGTCTAATAGTCCTCTCTTCCAAAAGTACAGTTTCAGGCCAGAAGAAGATTTGACTGCTACCCTTAGATTTCTTTCCCTCACTGTACATTGCATTTTGCAGGCTATACAAAGCAAGACCTTCTTTGCAAAAGGCAAACTCCTTTGCCCCGAAGCCATACGGTACATGCGTGGGGGTAGTTGTAGGGGGATAAGTGTTGTTATTCACCAATACAAGGTGGAATCAGTGCATCTAGGAGAGAAGAGATTAAGGAAAGACGCTGTGAAGTCTGCTAGACCTAGGTTTAAGTTCTGGCTTCCCACTTATTAGGGTGTAACCGTGGTCACAGTACTTAATTCTCTAAATTTGATTCCTGAGCAATAGAGTGGGGAATAATAGTATTGGTGCTGTTACTATTATGATAATGTGAAAGACAACAGGAGAGTGCCTGGCCCAGAGAAAGAGCTAAGTGACAGCTCTTATTATTAACAAAAATGAATGACTTAAACCTGGAGATTACAATATTTAACAAGCACAGACACTTACTGCAGCCTGTTATTGACTTCAAGCAGTCTTTTGCTTTGGTTCTATTTCTGTGATATCTTATCTTACTAGACTTTCTGTTGGGTGTCTCTTTAACTCTTGTGCCTTGTGAAGGCCAGGAGATATTCCAGACAAGCTGAAATTCTACCTTTTTATGAGAATAAAGGAAATGGGGCCATGTTGGACCAAACAAAGAGTAATAAAATAAAATAAGAGTTGTAGCTTTCAGAGGGAAAGATAAACAAAGAAAGGGCTGGGGCAGTGGATGTGGTGTTGAGATACTGGCACCAGGAAGCAGGGAAGAAAACCTCCAAACACATTGTGGTTTGTTAAAACACTGAAGACTCCTAAGTGCTACAGTGGCAGGCAATGCCACCCCACCAGGCAGCAGTGTTCTCCGCAACTGGGGAAGAGGAAGTAGGGCCTAATGATTGCTCCCGGAGACAGAGAGTCTGCTGTCCTGGGCTTTACCAGCCTGGCTTGTTGGGTGACCTTGAGTGACTTATCTCCCTAGCTTGGACAATTTTCTCAAGGTTCTCACATAGTCCCTAGCTAAAAGGGTCTGATGAAGACAAATGCGTTAAAAGAAAATTTAGAGGAGAGTCCACAAACTGTCCCTCCAGATACACCTGCTGGTGGGTTTTAGGATTTTTAAATGTTAAATGTTAATGCATTTAGGCAGGGCTTGGTATTTTCTAATTCACACAATATCTACCATCTTGAGTCTTCACATTTGGCTCCTGAAGGCCTCTGAGTATATGACTTCTGATTTCAGTGCAACCTCTGGTCCTTCAAACCAGATTGGAATTGCTTCATTTACAACTCATTCTATTTCTTCATCAATTACATGCAAATATGTATTTCTAAAGTTTCACAAAACAAAGATTTTGTTGGCCTAACTGTAATTTGCTCTAAAGGCATTTTTTTTTCTAGAAAAGATGGCAAAAATTACAATTTGACCTTCCTTCTAGTTCATCCAAATTCTAAAACTTTAATGTTACTTGAAAACATAATTTGGCACCAAGTATTCTTTAGGTTATAATCTAAGTTGCTCATAAAATTTAATCTAGGCCTGGATCATTTTACTTTGAGGAGAAAACATATCACTAAATAATAATGATCTCAAGTCTGTTCTTTTGCCACTTCCCAGAGATCTCTCCTAAGGCACTCAGGGAAAGTCAGGAGTAAATTAGACTTCCACATCTAGTGACCAAAACACCATCATCTCCAGCATTACCACAGTGAAGTATGCAGATCGTCATAAATATTTACACCTTGCAGGGTCCTTTGTGCACAACTCTGAGAGACAAATGGCATTTCCAGTAATAGTTTATTGATTTCCAAATGCACAGGGGCGCCAAGTCCAAACATCCTGGGATAGCAGTAAATCTCTCTTTCAAAATAATTTACAGTATGAAAATGATATACTGAAACATTAACTCAAACGTGTAATTCTGTTGAAAGATTCAGTGTTCCCTTGTTTAATGTAAAGGGTGGAAAGGGAAGATTCCTAAGGAAGGAATGTCACTGTGCACAGGAAAATAGGCAGAGGACAATGGATTCATTGATTCTCCCCATTCATGCAGAGTGGCCTGTCACTGTAGAAAGACCGGTCAGGTTTAATCCTCATTGAGTATTAATCTGCTGTCCCCTCAAAGTCATATCAAGCCTAGTATGGGCTCCGTGGCTTTTTCTGCACCAATGTATCCGTAAGTGTCTTCACTTATTTTCATTTTTCTGCTCTGGACCTTGTTCTGCTGTTTCTGGTATGTTCTCAGTTCCAAATGATACTATCTTATCTTACCAGGCAGGCCTCCAGAATCAAGAACTGCCTGAGTCTTATGGTTTCTGGAATGGGACAGGGTAGGGGGTTTCATAAGCCCTGTTGGATAAAGGCAATAATAATGAGATTGAAGTCTCCCCTATGGGCCTTCTTTTTCTCCTAGGGCTGGGCTGGACTCAGTCCATAATGAGATTTTTTTAAACATAAAAATCTGATGTGATCAGCACACAGTAAACATGCAGTTAATTTTCTTATTGAGAAGCATGTATGGAACAGCCAATACATATAATGAATGTGGAATTTCAAGAATGGCAAGGGAGCATTTTCTACTTGGGGAGAGAGGACTTCCTAGACCCTGCCACTACTACAAGGTCATGAATTCTGCATTTGTGCCCTCAGGTCTAACTGGAGTAGTTAGACTCTCAGGTCACCAAAATGGCTGGGCATCCAAGTTTCCCATGTTATTAGACATCTTGGAGGAGGGCTGGAGTGCAATTTCCTTCAGGGCTGTCACTTTGACTCAGTGCCTTAGCAGCTAACAACTTTTGCTAGGGAATTGCTCTTCTTGTAAGCAAGTACCTAAGCTCCAACTATATGGTGACACTTGTAATTAGGGCTGACAGAAATCTTTGAAGTAGTATGCAAGATAATGAAGGGGCTGCTTTGAGTTTTCCTTAGTTCTCAAATATTGTGTGTGTGTGTGGACATGTACGTATATACATATACACACATATCACACTTGTCATTTATATATAGGTACACACTCCCCCAACACACGCAAACCAGGAATTAGTAGGAGAGTCCAGATTCACTGGACTTTGAATTGCCACATCCTCACAGAGCACACTGGCCGCTAAGTTTACTAAAATATGAAGATTTCCTTTTCTACAGCAGTGAAGCTGCAGACAGTTGCAAATAAAGTTGAGTAGAAAGCAGAACACCCTTCACTTTTACTACTGCTGCAAAGTTCTATACCTTTGAAGGCCAAGAAACACTTTATTTATGGAAGACGGCATGAAAAAGGAAATGTTCTCCCAACTCCTGGGGGTGGGCTCAAGCCAGCAATGTGTACTTAAAGCATCGGCTAAAGGGGAGAAATAAGGCTACCTCAATGCCATTTCTGAGCCCTAACTATAACTGTCATTTTGAAAAAGATTCATAAATTGGGATGGTCAGCGCACAGTGGGAAAACCTGAAGCCTTTTTATCCTTCTGTTTTTAGGTGGACCACAGTGTGTGGTACAAAGTGCTTGTCCACAGAATTAGGGGGAGCTGGGTTCAAGATTTGGCTTGAGTATTTCCTAGCTGTGTAACTTGAAGCAAATGACTTCCATTCCCCATCTGTTTTATTATCTAAGAGACAGTTCAGGGCCTGGCTCATAGTTGTTCCTTAATACAAGTTATTTCCCTTCTTGGGCTGTCAGAGTGGAGACTCCAAGCACTTCTTGGGACTGTCCTGGATTTAATGATATCAAATCAAAGTCCCTCTCGGCATCCGGAAATTCAACATTTGAAAGGTAGCCAGAAATTGCTATGAGTATCTGACTGATTCTGGAAACATTCATTACCTGCCTCCCTTGGTGACTTCTCTTTAGGGGTTTCAGCAAACCCTGCAACCTGCAGCCAGGCAAGACACAATTCTGAGCTTTCTAAGTTTTACTGACCTGGCAGGAGGGAAGCCTCATCATGCTGGGGCTTAAGGCCAAGCAGCATGCTCCAGCTCTATGGGAAGGTGGTGCCACTGCAGGAAGCATCCTAGTTTCTTACATTGATAAATGCTGCCGGCAGGAACTTAGGAGCCTGGGCAAAAGCTGCTGCACTGTGTTTAATGCTTCCCTGGTTAAAGTTTTATCAGGTGCTGAAGACAGCAGGAGTCTGTAAAGCAACTCTGAAACCCTTTCTAAGTAACAGCAAAAGTGCTTTCCTTGAGGATCAGAGATAAGTTACTGAGACAGACTGGCACACATTTTTATATTTCCATTTATATCCACTGCATAAATACTTGAATTTCCCAAATACTGATTCAAAGTAATAACATATGATCAGATATGGAGAACCAATGATCTGTCCATTGCTAATATAAGGCTACTATTTGGAGATCAAACAATGATTATTGGGGAAAGACAATACAAGCTTCCAAATCCTAAAATCTTTTTAATCTTCTGATACTTAAACTTTTTCAAGAGTGGCCACTGGTCCTTCTTTTAGGGTAGTTTTGTTGGATATGATTGGAGGTTGTAATTAATGGTATGCCAAATTCTCCAGTCTTTGCAGAGACAGCTAAAGCACCAAAATTGTCTTAGCCATTTCTTGGCCACCAGTTTGAGAGAAAAATGCTTTTTTTTTTTTTTTAACATCTCAAACTCCTCTCAGCCCTAATATCCTGGCATCTTTAGTGAGTTAGGACAATCCTAACCTAGAAGCATATATGCCTGGGAGCTTCCTGGCCTCAAAGGAATAAATCATTTCACAGCATTCACAGGACTGAAAAATAATATAAATAGGACTCTTATAGTAAACAAGTATTGTTTCTGTTTCAAAACCATCCTGCAAGCACAATAATCAGCTGGCCCTATAATAGGTACACAGGTCATAGGCAGGCAGGAAAAGGGATTTTCCCCGGTGCAGGCTCCTTTGGTTCTGCCTCAGAGGCACTAGAAGTCTAGGCCCTGGGTTAGCAGCAACCCAGAGTCTGCTTGGATATGGTTCCAGTTGTATTCTTCATAAGTGAACACCAAAATACCATAAAGGCAGAGGAGAGTGAACATATAACCCACTTGCAAATAATTACCTTTCAAGATTCCTATTTTTTATCTTAACAGTCTATGTGTATGAACATTTTATTCTATAATATAACTTTTATATAAAAATAGGTCATCTCCTGACTCCAAACCATTTGGTAAGTAAAACTGATGCTTCAAGAAGATGCAGGTTTTTAAGTTTGCAGTTTTACATTCCCCTAGCACATCCCTGCTTACTCGGGAGTACAAAGCTTGGTTGTAAGAAATTGTGATTTGGAAGTAGAGAAAAGCAAGGAAGTCCAACCTCAGGCATGTCTCTGTTACTAAGAGGAGAGCGAGATCCAGGGTGTGGGAGATGATCTGAAGGTCTGTGGGTGGGGAGTGCCACAGGAAGAAGGGTTCTGGTCTGAGGTAAAGGAGGTTATATCTATATGCTGGGAGATCAGCTGAATTCAGAACACATGGAGTGGCATCAATTCTCCCCATACTGCATTTAAGCCAAATTAGGCTAAAATGGGGGTAGGACTAGCAAAAACCTACAGTGAAAATTCCCATTTGGTAATATACATTCCAGCCCTTCATGTTGTGACAAGCCCATAAAACCTGCAGAATTCACCCAAATAATTGTGGTTCTATTAGATCCTTTACTGACTATTTTGGAAATTCAAGCAATTTGAATTCAGAATTACTGATTTCAACTTTTAATCAGATTTCTTTGGTCCTTTTTTTTCCCCCTAAGGTCATTTCCGTTCCACCTCTTCAATCATTTTTTTTCATTTCCACAGCACTGAATTATGAATCTCAAGTCCTGGATAACTTCATATACTAAAAATATCTCTTCCTAATCTTTAACTCTTTCTCCAACACCTTTTTCCAGTCATCCACCTTAATTCATGGCACCACATTTTCACAAATGCAGAACTGGACTTTTAGGGACTGCCCACATGAGTCAATGTGGCCCTACCTTGCTCTCATTTATTTCATGCTTCAATATGAACAAAATTGGGTTTCTGTTAATAGGCAGGGAGAAAACTCTGACTTCCCTTCAAGATTATTCCAGATCCTTCCTAACAAAGCCATACTGTTTGGTAACACAATATTATGGGGGCTGACTTTCCTGAGTAAGTTCAAAGCAGCCACTGAGGGATTACCTGAAGGACCCTTCTTAATTGCTCCTGGTGGATCAAATGGGCTCTTTTCCTTGACCTACCACAACCAGAAGATGAGAAGCACACAGTCAGTAAGCATAAAACTGGTCATCCCTTGGAGAGATATGTGCCTGCTGTGGATCTGGGGACACATCTGGTGGAAGTACGTTTGTTGCTGAGCAGCTTTCACAGAAATCAGAAGCCGTTACATACACACTGTCACATACACACAAGGGGAGGGGATGATTTTCCACTGGGGGTAGCAAGCCTTCATGTGTCCTCTTCTTCACTGGCACCACTACAAAGGAAAAGGAGAACCAGGTGAGTTAAGATATCACAAGAAGGGAGGCAACCTAGTCTACTGGTTGGTAGCACAGACTTTATGTCAGACATACCTGGATTTTAAGTCTTAACTACCATGACTGACCAACATGGCCAAAGGCAAGTTACTTAGTTTCTCTAAATTCTGATTTATCTGGCCATAGGGGGATGATGATAAAACTTACTTTCTTGAGTTACTAGAGGATTAAATAAGAGAATACATATAAAATGCACAGTACCTGGTATATGGTTAAGTGAGCAGCTATTTAAAGGAGCAGGTGAGAGTCATCATTCTTTTAAACTTAACTGACAAAATAAATTGCTGGTAAAAATCAGGTGTGTGATTTCCTCTAAGCCTTAAGCCATTTATTGTTAGGAGAGAAAAAACAAGGAGACGCTACTATCATCTGCACTCTCAATGGCATTTTGCACTTGGAAAAAATCCAAGATTTCAACTCATGCCATAGGGACATATGCCACCTCGTCAGAGAAGGTACTCTACTAAGTAGGACTCCCTGGTGATTCTCTCTTACTTCTCTCATAGGCCTTATCACATTACATAATTTGTTTGCGATTTGCTCTTCTCTCTACCCATGACTAGAGCATACAAGAATAGCAATACTATTTATTAACTATGTATATCTAGCACTAGCACTGGACTAGGCACATGGAAGAGCTCAATAAATAATTGTTTTTAAAAAGGAAGTGAAATACAAACAACAGGAAGAAAGGGAGGGAGGGATGGACACGGTTGAAGGGACTGGTCAGTCATTACTGCCCTGGCCAGGTTATTGCAGATGTTAGTGATGTTTCAGTGACCAAAAAATGAGTTGTCAAGCCCCAGAGGCATGGCTAGTACCTCAGCTGCTCAGAGTTACAGCACCTCTGGCTTGGACCTGGGAGAGAACACTGTTGGTACAGGGACAGGGGCAAGGAGAAGGCAGAGCCTGAAAAAGCAGGAATGAGCACACTGAGAAAGGCAAAAGTAGCAAACTTGCCTAGTTTCTCCCCATCCACTTCCATAGGTCACTGTCCTTAAAATAGTAACAAGAGCCAGCTTGATCAAGTGCTTACCGGGGCACTGAGTTACGTGTGTTACTCACCCATTCTTCCTATTATGTAGGGGCTATTATTATCCCTTGTTTTCCAGATGAAAAACGTGAAGCTCTGAGACATGTAAAATCCTAGGGTCACATAGTAAGGTCTGTGTCCTTAAAACTCAAGGTTTAGTTTCAGTTGGATAAAGTCTGAAGTGGTCAAGCTGGTAGAGAAGGAAAAGGCCTGTAGAACATCAGCTCCCAGCTATTACCTAGAAATTTTTCATCTCACAAGGGATTATCTATGTCTATATAAAAGCTGTGCTCCTTTGCATCCATTTGGGAAAGACCTTAAGGGAAAATATCCTAGGCAGCAGATTTCTAGACCTTCCACTAAAGGCAAAAACATTTCAAGAAACAGGTCCTGCAAGTTAAGGTAAGTGTATGCTAGGAGCCAAAAGAACCAACCCAGTAATCTTCACCATTCCAAAATCTGCCTTGTTTCCACTCCCCTTTCCTGCTGGTTATACAATCATGGGATGAAGAGTGCATGCCAGGAAGAGCTGGACAGTGGGCTGTCATTAAGGAGCAGTATTTAATGGCATCTGTCCCAAAGGGAACAAAGGGTCTTTTATGAAAGCTTCTCACCAGAATCAAGGCAGAGCTGGAACTGGCGCCATATTCTCCCCCTTGGTATTATATCCAAAGCAAGCTCTCATTGTTCTCTTGTCAGTTTTATTTCAAATATGAGGGCAGCATGGTGACTCTGCCCTAAGCTGCAGTTCACTTTTTAGCATTCTTGAGACACATAGTTTAAATGTTCATGGACCTAATGAAATTGTATACAGAATTTTATCTGTGTGTTCCTTTGTCTGAGAGAAGCCATACTTTTCATCGTATTTTCAAAGAAGTCAACAACTCTTGCCAAATTGGGAATAACCAAATTATAAATAAATTCTTTTCCAGTTGCCAGGTTCTTTACTATAAGACTTGGAGAGTGGCTTGGGGAAAAGGTCTGAAGTCTGAACTGATAAAATCTTTTCTCATTAACTTAAAAAAGATCTGTTCTTGGGTCTGAAATTTATCTCACAGTTTAAAACATGAGATCTTAGGATACTGGCATATCATTTATTGATTACTTCATTTGCTAAATATTTGTTGACTGTCAACCACGTGTCAGTCATGATTCTGGGCACAATAATGAATAAGATGAACACAGGAGTTGCCCTCTAGGACTTTAAAGCCTAGTAGGTGAGATACAGGCTCAGGGGAGAGAGGGAGAACCTTTTTTCCCCCCCCAAAACAGCATCTTTAAAGAAAGCATCTTATTTTTATAATAACCCACTTCTCACAATAATGAATAAGAAAAGGGATCATAACTGAATCTGTAACACAGAGCTTTGCTCAGCTTGTATGTCATCTCTCCTGGAGGGTTCAACAATATAATTAGTGTTAGGCATTGTCTCCTCTCCTGAATGTTCTTGCTTCACTTTGTATATAAACTTTTGTATATAAGCTAGTCTATGTTCATGAGATGATCTCATTTTATTTATTTTTATTTATTATTTTGATTTTGCTCTGTCACCCAGGCTGGAGTGCAGTGGTGTGATCTTGGCTCACTGTAATCTCCGCCTCTCGGGTTCAAGCGATTCTCCTGCCTCAGCCTCCTGAGTAGCTGGGATTACAGGTGCCCGCCACTACACCCAGCTAATTTTTGTATTTTTAGTAGAGATGGGGTTTCACCATGTTGGCCTTGAACTCCTGACCTTGTGATCCACCTGCCCCAGTCTCCCGAGGTGCTGGGATTATAGGCATGAGCTACCATGCCTGACTGTTCATGAGATTTTTTATCTTAAATAGTCTATAAAAGTCTTCACTTTCTGCAAGGGAAGTAATACAGCCTTCTACCTCAGCCACTTACCACGCTCCTCTGAAACACCTACCAGTCACATTTAGACTTACAACCGGAATGGGACTCAGATGTTAATGGCTGTTTCACTCTTTTTTTTTTTTTTAATAAACTAAGGGTGTTAGGTAGACAGCCCATTCTATAGCAGGTAATGCCAATGAGAGAGTCAGCATTACATAATTACTCTGATGTCACCAGACTGAACTAGGTTCAAATCCCTGTTATGAACTAATAAACGGTGGGATCTTAAGTCACTAACCTCTCTGAATCTCAGTTTTGTCGAAATGCTATCTTCCAGGGTTACTGTGAAAGCTTTATGTATTTTATGCAATACAAATGATAAAAAATGTTAACCTTCCTCAACCCACCTTCCTTCTTATCCTGAATAAAAACCTGCCTCCTCCTGCCTTTCCCTCAAATGTTCCTAGTTCTGGCAGCTGAAACATTACATTCCAGAACAAGTGTGTTCCTATCCCCAAATACCCTTCAAATATCTGGAGAGCAACAGTATCCTGCTTTGCTCACTTGGAGAGTTTTGTAAATGACAACCCAGACCTAATGAAATACAGGTACTAACTAGAAAGGCTGAGTATCACTCTGACCCTTCTAGGTGGCAGGTCTCGAGAAAAGTCATGCCTGCAAACACTGGGGAGAACAAATATGGAGTGAAGTTTAGTTAACCGGCCTTAGCTCAGTCACTGATCTAGTTTGAGGGTATTGCTGTATCTAAAAGTGGTGGCCTTAAAACTGGGGTACCGATACCCTTGTGGTATGTAATTACCTTCCAGGAAGTATTTGGGCCTGGGTAATTTTATGAAAATTAATGTCCAAATCCTTAACTTCCATATATACTGCTTCCTAAAACTTATCTCCTCAGAAACATGCCTGTGCTCTATAAGGTTCTTGTTTCAGCCACTCCCACTTTCCAGATCACCATACTCCCACACTTCTGCAGAAATGCTACTCTCACCCTTCTGAATCTTAGCATGTAACAATTTTAGAATGTCTCCCTTAGAGGAGTCCTATGAGAGAATAGCAAGCAATAGTAAACGAGACAATCTCTTTTTTCATTTAGGCAGGAAACTCTTGGCAAGGCTGTGTGTTTTATCTATCCATCAATCTAACACTTCAAATTCAAAAGTGAGATGGTTATCATGAGGTGTGTGCTAATGTTTATTGGTATTGAAAAAAATGAAATCAGACTTAATCTGACAGAAAGCAAGTCTGATCTGGCTGGATGGTTTGACCACCAGAACTGGCTTTGCCAATTAGATTATATAGTGTACCTTGCTTGTAAATTTAATAAGCTAAATTAACAGTGCCAAAGTTTTGACAAAAATATATATAAAAACTCATATAAACTACACAGTATGTCAGTGATCACACCCTTAGCAACTATTTACACTTGATATATGATTTCAGGAATTAATTTAAAAATGTGCAAAAAGGCACATACTTTTAAATTTTCTTTTAGGGGATGTAAAACAAAAATGTTTAGCTAAAGGAACTGGGAGCTCCTAAATTCTGACCAGGAGGATGGTGTGAAATTTAACACTTTCTTGGTTGTGGGTAGGGGTTGGGGTGACAGAATGAGACTAAGGCATCCCAGTCAGCAGAATGCTGTATCCCTTCTCTGAGCTGGGCTCACTGATGTGATGCCTGTGAAACTGAAATGTCAGAGGCATGCCATAAGCCCCACGTTCAGACCCTAAACACCTGCTGATAAAATGATCATATTTTATCATAATCATTTTACAGTGTTTCACTGACAATTTTTTAGTTAGGCTGTATACATAGGCAGCTCAGCTTTTTGGCTTCTGTCCCCAGATTGTAGGGGTATAAAGGGGGAGTTAATAAATCAGGTAGCAGGCATTCTGACTTTGCAAGTTTAACAGTTTCTTTTCCTAAGTATATAGTACAACTTAATGTGACTTGGCATCACTCACGCCTTCTGAGTTCTTAGTTATTTATTAATTGATTATTGCTGTAAAAGGATTATTTAACTCAGGAGGATGGAGAAATTAAGAGTTA